CTCCGTCTTTCTTCTTTTGTTTGGGGATTATGATTTTCATTTAAAGTCTCGAATCCGACAGATTTTTGAATGCATTCGAATTTGCTGCTTTTTTGTAAAATTTTAAGATTGGATAGATCAAAGCTTAAGGCTGTTGACAATACTAATGTTAAGAAATATAACAACGGTTATTTAATATTTAAATTATATTTGCATCTTGTTGATTTCCCCTTTCGAAGTTAATTGTCCCTTTTATAGGTATTGAAAACTAATTTGAAGAGGTTTGAGAAATGCAAAATATTTTATAACTTATGGTTTAGCTTTGAAAACCAAGTCAAAAGATCCCCTACATTTCAATCTACCTTCTTATTATTCATTTTCCACTCAAAAGTCTCAATCTTATCCAACAATAGTATTTACATTTTCATAATTTCAATATATAATGGATATAATGGATAATTTTTATTATTATTATTTTGTGCTATAACATTGGCATGTAAAACAGCATATAGAGAACGAATGAATGTGAGAAAGAAAGAAAGGAAACACAGCCATAGAGAATTATGATTTTTACCCGATGATTAATAAAAGAAAATTGAATGAAAACAGAAGAAAGAACAGTTAGATTGCAAACTCTATTAAAATTAAATATGAATAATAATCATCGATAGATTTATGCATGAATGCCTTCATGTTGCGACCAAAATCAACAATATTTTATTTTTTTTGTTCTTCAAATTGAATTTATGAAAATATAAATAAATAAAACGTGTCTTTTGCCAAGCCGGTATGTTTTGATTATTTTGACTTTCACTTTTTATTTTACTTCTCCTGCTCATATGGCTTAATATTACTCATGCTGCCAGTTTATGAACATTTATGTCAAAAGACCATTCATCTAATAGCTAAATTGTCTATTTGAAGTTTAACGAAAGTTGATAATGAACAAAAATAAAAGTAAAGAGACACAAGCAGAGAAAGAAAAATTAATTTGCTGATAATATAGGAAATGATTTGATCACGGTGCAGTGAAGAAAAAGAAATAAAAAAAGCATGTTTAGCTATAATTCTCGGTATCAAGTGGTTCGCGCACGCCTCAGTAGCTTTATGTACATGAAAAAAGCTAATTAAATTTGTTAAAAGCAATTATTGTTGTTAAAGCGCAAGAAAAAAAAATCAAACTTACTGTATTTAAAAAAATCATATTATTGAAATAAATAAATTAAAAAATACCATTCGCAATCGATTAAACCTTAGACTATTTTCAATAGGAATTATTTGAACGAGGAAAAAATATTGAAAGGAATAAGTAATTTATGCCTTTTAATTGTGAAACACTATACGACAATGAGGCAGGAAAATCACACACAGATCAATACTTGAACAATAGTTTCTTGAGACTAAAACCCAAACAGTTTTTATTTCTAGACAGCAAAAAAATGTTTATGGTCTCGAAATATGAGAAGTAAATGAGTTTAAAATTTATTTTCGATGAGAGATTTGTGTGAAGTTTAAAATTTTTGTTTGTGAAGATTAGACACTTTTGATTTGGTTTTGAATTTATTCTCGGGATTAACTATTCTAATCCTAAAGCTTCAGGATTAGGGTTGTTATGAGTCTAGTTTACATTTGTATCACCAAAATGAAGGCATAGAGTCTGCATCATGTGGTAACGACCTAGATTCGATTCATAAACTTAAAGCTACTTAACCAAGCAATGATTGAAAGTTGGAACAGAGCATCCAAAGAGAACAAAGCTCTAATTAATATTGGCTACATTCCTGACCTTAGTTTCATTAAAAAAATATTAACTTAGTTCAGTATTTAAAGATATGTTCTACCTTCTTCATCCAACTTACAGCCCTAGTGTCCACCCCTAAGTCATCAATTCTTATTCTCCTACATATTTTTGATCACATAATTTCAATTGTGTCTTAGCATATATCATATTTTTTTGAAAGTAAACCAAAAGAGAATGTCTGCATATGCTCGAACTTGTGAATTTAATCCATATTTTCAGTGATTTTGTTGTTGTAAATAAATTTTATATTTTCCATTACAAAATATGAGACGTAAGATTATGCAGCACTTAACTAGTTTTTCAACAATTCTAGACTAAATTGCCAACAATTTCAAAATTATGCTCTCAATGTCTACCAACAACAGAGTCTTTTAATGTAAATTGTATATTGTGGTGAGAGGTGAATGACAACAATGAAGCAATATTATTTCTTGTCAATAATGCTACGAGTTAATTACAATGTCATTTTTTGGATTTTGCTTTCCGTCACAGAAACCTCAAAAGAAAATCAATTTCAAGCTCGATTGTCACACTTTTTTTTTATTTCTTCTTTTGCTTAACTTTAAAATGACAATTCATTTTAGATTCGATGAATGTATTACATAAATATTCAATAAATTTTAAAACGTGCAAGACTCTTTTTTTGTTGTATTCGACGCAAAGTTCACAACATGATGACACAAACAACATTACAATTTATTTTCTTAGGTAATGAAATGATTGAACGATCACATATAAATAAAAGCGAATATGTATGTTCATCATCATGATAGGTCAATTTCATAATTTCAACATTTTTTTTTTCTTTTGCAACTTAATGCTTTATTGCATGTTAATATGATTTTAATCGACGTTTATAATAACAATTACGTACGTATGTATATTCAACTTAATTGCAACTTTTGAATAAGGCATTGGATTACAAAGTATGAAATGCATGTGAGGAGAAGAGAGAAGAAATATTTCTTAAACAATTTATTTTTCATACATACGAGATGATTGAGAAATTATGTTATTTAGCTAGCTATTAAGACTTTAATGTTGCAAATTTGCATTGAAATTTTCTTTAATTTAGTGAGACGGTTTGTCCTAATTTCGGGCTATTTTGTAATAATTGAGTATGAAAATTGTGTTTGTTTTATAAATTGCATGAGCATTGTATTGGATGCTTTAGCAACATGTGAAGAATTCATGTTCATTTGCAACATTATTGAAAAAATACTGAGAATTATTAATTCCATGAGTTTAGCCAAGATTTGTGAACCCAAATTAGCTAGAACAATGAAAAAGGACTTCAATCCGAAGGGACCTTCTCTGAGATCGAACAAGGGTATTTAGAGTCAGTTGTCTGATACTCTAATGTTGCTTAATTATTTAGACTACTAATCTTACAATATACGCTAAGATTTTAAATTTTGTCAATTATAGTTCTTTAAATTTAGAATTGCACCTAACCTTAATGCTTAATTAAGCACAAGCTTGACTCAAAACCTTAGTCATAACATTAATGGAAGCTCAAAATGTAAAACTTTATTTGAAATATTTCACAATTGAATCATTGCTCAACAAACACACAGATTTCTTAAGCTGATAAGACATCAAGCAATAAAGCAACTGCCTATTATTAGGTAAACTTGTATAAAGCAAATTAAAAACAAATTCATTAAATTAAATTAACAATAAAAATTACACAAAATATTCAACCCGAGGCTCTCAAATATTATAAATATTTTTTTTATATTAAAGATTTCGTAAGACATTATGAATATGCTGAAGCATTAAGTGCCATGCCACAGTAAATAAACCGAGCACACCTTCAGTACATAATAAGTAATAAAAAAATAATGAAAATGAAAATTCGCTGTGGAGAGTGAAAGATTTAAAAATTTTGATAAAGTTAATTAAACTTTACGTACAGCACAATACGAAAAATGTCTACAGCAATTCATTGAACTCGTGTGAATTTTTTTACTGCTCATAAAAAAAAACATTTTCGCTCTCGTTCGTATGACTGTGACTTATTGTCTCAGAATGTAGGCTTTAGCCAATTGTTATGTTCCTCCATTATGTTGTTTTTAATTCTTTTTTTCCTGTGTGGAAAATTAAAATTTTTTTATATGATCTGTAATATGTTACATAAAGCTCTATTATCTCATTATTATAATCTCAGCTGTTTTTTTTGTCTTATTTTGGATTTATTGCGAGATGAAATTTTGCGAAATAGCTTAAATAGACGTTTATGGATATTAACTTCCGTTATATTTTATTATAATTTTTGGGTTCATTGTACACACCCAAAAATAAAACAACGCAAAAAAAATTATCTAAAATCGACATAAATGAAAGTAAAAGTTTTAACATTTACCCACATCAACAATTGAAACTGAAAACCACTTATAGCGAATATTTCTTTTTTTGCAACTCATCGGAGCGTCAAAATTGCATTTTATATTAATGATTTAATTCGATTTTTTTTCCGACAAGCATCGCATAAGCAGCACATATATTTATTATGAAATATATATATTATATCTAATTTATTTTTCTTCAGTTTTACTTTCGGTTTCAAGTATCGTCACTAATGAAAAATATTACCATTTTTGCCATTATTCGCACCCAAAAGTTACCTCAGACAATAATATATATTAAGGCATAAAGATGGATAGAGTAGAGAAAAAAATGGCAAAAAGAAAGATGTAAAAAAGAAAGAAATGAAGAAATCACGACACGAAGCAAAATTATGCAATGTTACCTTTTAACGCTTCACTGTGTAACATAAGTAAAACGTTTCGTATTATTTTTCCTTTTTTTCTTTCTTATTTTTTTTTAAAACAAAACAAAATAAAATATAAAAAGTGAGAAATGGTTGGTGGAAAAAGAGCTATACAATTTACGACTTGATCTTCAGACTATAGAACGACATTTAATGCATTAATTTGCAGTTGTCTTCCAGACAACAAACGAACACGAAATGTCTAATAAGCATTCGTTTAGAATTTACTTCAGATTTCCTGGATTTGAAATCTATTTTAATTTGTTGAAGCTTCCCTTTGAATAATAAATTCGTAGTTTTAAGGCCCTTACATAATAAAATGGCTATGCAGATCCCATAAACCATAATCTCAGTAAACATTGCGAAAAATTTCTCAGAATTGTTCAAAATCTTAGTAAACTTTTCAAAGGTTTTAAAGAAAAATTTGCAATTAAAAGAAAATCTTACCTTGTGCACCAAAAACTTGATAGAACTGAGATAAATATGTGAGAATGCTTAATTTATCTGGAATCTCATAAGCTGCCATATCTGCTGGATCTAAGAGTGCAGGTATGCTCAAATATTCTTCGGCTACACGAAAAGCGAGGTCATTGTTATGATAAATATCCTCCTTTTTCAGCTCATCAAAATGACTGTGAATGAAGAATAGAAGAAAAAAATATAAAAATTAAATGAATTGAATTATGAATTGATGAGTGAAAGATAACAACAAAATATATGAGAAGTAATAAGAACGCTTAATTGAAAAATGGGTAAACCGCAGATCTTTGATCTTCATCATCATTTTCCATCATTGTTGTTGTGTATGAAAAGAAAAATTGTTTGAGTTCGAGGTCACTTGATTGTTGCTTAGATTCATTCTGGCTAAATTATTTCTCATTAGGTTGTTTAATGGACCTGTACATTGTAGCATTAGATTTAATAAGAAGAAAACGATGATGGATTATGAGATGGTAAATTAAGGGCAGTAGGACTAAAGATAAAGAAGGAGATTATAGCTATACCACGAACAATACAATCGGCAGTAATCAAGTAAGAGATTTCTATTGTGAATTTCAACAGAAATCCCCCATGAATTTATGTATTTTCAATCCTTGATCACTTCCCATTCTTTGTTCATTTCTCCGGCTATTCATTCATTCATTATTTTATGATGTTTTTTCTCAATACTCCTTTATTTCTTCAAATTTAAATTCTCAATTATCATTAACGAAACCTAATCTCAATCTTAATTCAAAAACGTTTGAAAAGAACCATTTCTTTAGAATGTGTAATATAGGAACGACTGTACAAAACAAATTCTACTTAAAATTCTATTGCGTGCTGTTTATTTCATTTAATCAACATACATATGAGGAGAGAGAAAAGAGACAGACGAAGAAGAAATAAATACAGGAGACTTCAAGCAGCGCAAACATCACCTTTTACATTGAAAAAGACTAAAAATTGTTCGCGAGCCCTCTTTTTTTCATCTAATTTCTCACGAAATTCGTCTCTTATTTAATTCAACTCTTTTGTCATTATTTTCATTATGACATGAAATACGTTTAGATGAAATGGTTTATAAAGAAGTCTTTTGTCATTTTAACAGACCAAAGAAAGAGAAAGAAAAGACGTTGAGCTACAAGAGTGGATAAACTCATAAAATTTCATAATCCAAATATTTCTATTGATGATCAAGTTTAAATTACGATAATGATGATGTTGTGACTTTTATTTTCAAAAATATCTCACTTTCTGCCTCTTCTTGGACTTCATAATTCGATACACATTAATATTTAATTGAAAGCTAGTCATTAGCAGCTACAACGTAAGAGTTTATTATGAAATCGTGATTATTACGAACTTAATTTTAGAAAAAATAGAGCAGACTACTCATGGAACCAACAATTAAGAATACTTTCAAATTTTTATGCGGTAATGGAGACCCACACTGTTCTCATGTATGTTAATTTAGCATTTTCAAGTCTTATTGATTATGAAGTACTTAAATTAGAATTTTGAAATGTACAGTTGGAGATTTGGTAATTAGAAGGCTAATTGAATCAGATTGTGAATAATTGCTGGGAACTAAGAGTAATTGTAATCTAACGGTTCAAAAATATTCGAATGTTTTTTAATTGCAATCATTTAATTTCAGGATTCGAAGAGTAAACTGGAGTAAACATTGAAAAATAAACCTTAACTTAATTATTAGACTTTGATTATTGCTTTAGTGGAATTCATTAAACCAATAGCATAACAGCAAATATCGAAATTCATTAGCGATTCTACCTTAAATAATCTCAAGTGTTTGAGTATATTAATGAAACATAAAAATTTCCATTTACTCAATCCATCAGCTTTAATAGATTCACATCTTATTATTCAAAATTATTAACATTTTGTGTGCTGATTAAATAAATAAATAAAAGTCAATATTCATTTTATTATTGCCTACTTTTTAAAACTAGTACGGCTACTATATGTCTAACGATTAATATAGAAAGGTAGATAGACTGTGCCTTTTTGTTAAATATGTATAAAAAAAATAGCAAGAAGGCCAAAAATTATGGCTGCTCATAGACATGACATGTATGAGAGAGAAAGAAAATATTATAAAAATTAAATTAACTGAAAATTCAGCGTGTTGCGACATGACACGGTTTAAAAACACATTAAAGAGTCTATTTTAAGAATGAGAATAGTATATCTAAAATTATTGCTTTATACTTTATTCGATTCATATCGAATCAAATTTAATTATGTAAGTGGGCATTTGGCATTTTGATTTCGTACGGCTGTATATCTATTATGAATACTTACATCAAATCTGGCAGTTGTTTGAGTGTCGAACATTTGCTGACCAAAGCACAAAATGCCAATCCATCACGCCATGACGTTGTCATGTTATCTACTCGCACATTGTAACCTTCAACCATACGACGACACCATAACTCCAAAGCCTTTGTTCCACGTCTTTCGTTACTCATCTTTTTTTTTTATTTATTTACTCGTTATTTTATGAAAATGTACTCAATTTATGGTCTGGTCTATGCTGTCTGTAACAAAAAAAGAAGGAACAAAAACAAGTGTTAAAATTCACATTTGACCAAGAGATGTACATAAAATAAAATAATAATGGAAATGACAGGAGAGAAAGAAAAGAGATTGCAAAACTTTATGCATGTTTCATCATCTTATCACTGCACAATCTACTGCTCATTAATTCATTTGTTTGTGAGAGAGTCGAGGAAGAAACTTTTGTTGTTAATTTATAACAACATCTATGATTAAATTTGATTCCATGCACAATCATAGTATCTTACTTAACATATCCAGGTAGCTACTTAGTAAGACAATCCATCAGTTTCACAAAATAAGATATTTCTTACAAAAGTGGAAATAAATAAATTTTATGGCACTAGCTTTAATCTATACATGCAAACCATAAATATATTTTGTGTTGTGAATTAAGTCAGACATCTATCCCGATTATCTTAACAAATAACACTTGTATTTATCGTCTAGATGCTCTACTTTTAGTCTGCACTTTATAACATAGATATAGTCTAGTTCATTTGCAAAAGGCAAACAGCATGCAGCACACCGTATAGCCATTTCAAATTTCTCTAATAAAGCACTGATAATCAATTTGTTAGCGAGATTGTAATTTTTCATTACGTGCTTTTCAATCTGAATAAAGCAATTGCACATGGCTTTATTTATACTTTTTTTTATGTATGCATATATAAAACTGTAATACCTAATTCTTATTCGGACATGAAAACAAGAAGGTAATGCTTACTGCATTATATAATTTTCTATTTTTCTACGCTCTTATCCAATAATTGTAATTTTTTATGTGTATTTTTTTAATGGAGTACATTTGTTCCCGGGAAGTATACATTGGATTAGAAGTGGGATGGCTTCTATTCTTTGAGTCCATTGACTGTGATTCTTATTCTGCAATATTTCAAAACTTTAAATTGAAGTCCTGTTAATCATTCCAAACGATACTGAATGTCCATATATGAAATATTGACTGATTATCTCCAAACTTCTTCTGCTATTCGGGTCAATACGTGTAGTTCATGAGAAAAGAAGTAAGTGAAGTAGAAGTAGGATAAAAATCAAACGTCTTATAAGTAATTATTATAGCTCACGATGATTTTGCACATTCTAAGTCTTAACCCGGTAAGTTTTTGATGTGCACGATCCACGAGCTTGTGCAAAAATGATCGTTTAGTATGTTATACAAAACTATAAGCGCTTCTTTACTTTAATATCTAACATTTAATCTTCACACGTTGTTAAGGATTTGTGCCAATTCATTTATTTATGAATCTCTATCTTATTTTTCCTCTCTAATGATTGGATCACTAATTACACTACATGAATAAGCGTAAAAGAACAAAAAAAGGCCTTAAATAGAACGTGGAACGATTGAAAAATTAATGCATACATCAATTGATTTCGAAACTTAATCACTTCACATCATCTCATAAATAAAAGGCAATTTTTAAGCAAACAAGAATTGCATTTTAAAATTTCCTTCAACTTCGATGAATGCCTGCGGTCAAAAGTCTGTATATATACTTTATTTTTATTTTTTATACATACACTCTTTCTACACTTTGCTCGCCCGTCTTCGAATGAACCAGAATATATTTATATGTGAAAAGAGAATAGCCGCAAAATTGTATGGGAGACTTGCTACACAACAAGGAATGCATACAGCTTTTAATGATTACTTGAATATGTTCCTTTTCATTATGAAACTGACCGCGCTTCTCGATAATTTTTCTCTCCTTCTTCTCGCTATCGCACTTTTTTTGCCATAAACTTAATTTTTTCACTTTTTTTTTTGTGTGGTTCGAACAAAATGCCTTATTTGAGACAAAATAAATCGTCTCCGAAAAAATAAATGTTCTATAGACAAATGAATAATGTGGAGAGAACATTTTACACGCAATGTTCAAAACTTATCACTGCTTCATACTGTGAAAATAATCCTTGCCATTTTTCATGGCTCGTTAAATGCCTTTTCAATAAATTTCAAATCTTCGATATTTAAACAAAGAGTTTTAGGGATTAAAATGGAAATATCAAAGAACTTTATAAATTATAGTCTTTATGGATTGGCTTTTTATTCAGTCTGCGTACAATGTTGCATTAATTTGGAGAGTTTACAGTCGATTGGATAATGAAAAGATGAGTGGGATTGTTTGGTTTTATTCTTGTCGCTTTGGGTTTTATTGCTGTTTTTACCTAAACTGTAAAGAGCTAGACCTGAGCTTTTAACCATGATTTCAAGAATCTTAACAGTTACTAGAACTCCATAATTCGAGTTTCTTACATTCAAATCAGAAGCTTCACTTCGAGAAATAAAAGTCTAAAACACTAGGGGCCGTTCACTTATGACTTCCGAGGGAGGGGGGGGGGGGGGTCAGCAAGAAAAAAACAATAGAAATTCCTGGAAATCCATTGTTCTTTTATGAAAATTAATTAAAAATATTAAATTCGGACGTCATAAGTGAACGACCCCCTAGCTAATGAGCACAAAATATAAATAAACCAGAAAATGCGCTTCCATCCATAAAACAAACAAACTTTAAATACTCGACTGCAGTTTTTCATAAAAAGCAAAAGTAATTTTTCTTTTTTCCTCGTCTTTTTTGGGTATTTCTGTTATTCATGCAGTCAGGCAACCAAAAAAAAACGTCGAAAGCCATTCTTTGATGTTCTTTTTCACGTGAATTTCATTTTTTTTTTGGTATGCACATTCTTCAGTAAATCGATATCATTTTCAATATCGATGAATCTTTTATTAAAGCAAACGATCGACAAAAAAAATAAAGCGAAGAAGCAAAAAGGAGAAAAATTGCCAACTGAAGCATTAAAAATGCGAAAATTGTCCGAGACAAAATGTTTCGTCTTGTTAAAAAGAGCGGGGCTTAAAGAATCGATAGGAAAAAAAGGGAGGTATAATTTTTAATCAAGTAACTACAGAGAGAAATAAGAATGATTGTGGAACATTAGTTCAGAATGTGAGACATGAAAACATAAATTAAATCAAAAGTGGATAAAAGTATTAAATATCAAAAGGTTGATCGTAAGCAGTTTCTATCATTTTATGCGTCGTCTCATGACACCTCTAAGCAATATTAAATATCTTTTTCTCTCTCTCTTTTTACTTGCGCACCGCAAAATGTGATCTTTGCATGGAGACCACCGCGTGTTAGCTTTTTTTTTATCTCATCCAGTTTCATTTTCTTCTACCCATCCCATTTTTTATTATTCATTTCTTCTTGTTGATGTTCTGATCGCATTGTATTATTATTTCTTCTCGTTCTCGAAATGATCATGACTTTTTTTTTCATGTCGGGACGAACGACGGAATGATAGTGAAAGAGTGAGAGAAACAAGAATCGGGACGGAATGATTATTATGCAGTCTCTTTTACTTTCATATATGAATATGTTACCCGAGCGATACACTGCGACAGATCTCATTTTTCTGATGTCTTCCTGACATCAGGATACTTAATCATGTATCTGACATTTTGTTATCAACACTTATGACTGTGTTGTGCAGCTCGGGTTTTTTTACTTCAAATATCAAAAATTGTTGTTATTAAAGTGAAATCATTCTGGAAAGAACAGACGTATGCCGGTTATTTTTATGTATTCTCAGCAACAATAGCAGAAGCATCAAGCACAACAAGGAGAATATATTCAATTTCTTTCTTTTTATTTCGAGAGGGGGTATAAGTGTATCGACAACAACATGAACGATGATGATGATGAAGATGATTTGAATCGTTAGCGCCACAATGAAAATTGAAGAGAAGGTATCAACCGCAGAACTGAAAAATATTGATGCCTTCTTTACATGTTGATGCGAAAACAAATTATAGACTATAATTTCATGGGCGCTGTGATGGGGAGCCTTCATCTAATCACCTTTTTTTTGTTGTGATGAATGCTACGGTCAGTATTATTATATATCCGTAAATTATGTTCTTCTATTCTGTCTTGTTTTATTCTCAATGCCTGTGATGCACTTTTATAATCCACAAAAGGCTCAAATCCCCTATGGCACTGACTCTTTATTGAATCAAAGAAACCATTTATTCTTTCCTGTATATCATATTGAGCATTGAAAACATTCACTCAATCTTAGCTACAGTTCATAGTCCTTGAACTGCAAAATGCAATAAATTTCATGAGCCAATCTACAACCACTCTCTCACTGTTGGATGTAGAGAGGGCAATGTATTATGTTTTCGACTGAAACGGAGACCGTGAACTTTCCAATTAAGAGCTATTGTAACTATTCAAATTCCTTGCCAATAGACTGTGCCTCGAACAATCTGTGCCTTCATCGTGTTTATTGCATTTTACACATATGCAAAAGATAGACGCTGCTGTACCACACCTTGTCCATTAATATGAATAATTTATGAAACTCAGCACAAATTAACGATTTTCACTTTTTTTTTCATCTCCAAAACTATTTCGATGTGATGATAACAAGCTGGAGAGGAATTGGTATGAAAGTTGAAGGCCTGAGCGCATTTGTCTTTGAAGTAAAGGAGAATTTCATGGGAAATTGATGAGCAATAGCTCATTGCATGAATTGTAGTGATCAATATTGTTTCATTGACAAATGTCCAAATACTTGAAAATCAAATCAACATTAAACCCCACCTGAAAGTCATTCAATCTATTATGTAACTTAAATCTATGCATGACTTTTTTTGTTAATCAAATAATAAACAAATAAACAGACAAAATGTGAACAATAATAGACATCGCACGGAAAGCTACATCATTTCGGACTCCGGATGAACAGATATATCCATACATGGGTGTCAAGAAGAGCGAAAAACGCACAAAACAGAAAAAAGTATGGTTAACAAAATGTTATTTTTATGTTAATCAACTCAAGCGACAAGTTCAATATTCAATATCAAGCTCTTGAATATTGTTGTTGAAAAAAAATTGTGCCGCTGGATTTCGAAATAAAATCAAATCACGTTTTTTTGTGCTTTTCGCTT